GGACTGTTATCTGCTTGAATTCTTGCCTTCAATCTTAGAGATCATTCCATTTGTTGCTTTTGGAAGCCGAATTTACAGAGAGCCTATCCGCCCTTTTGCCCATCAGACTTATTTCGGATATGTCCATGGCATACCCCTTCGCTTTCAGCTTCGCTTAAACGTCTGTGTACAGGCCCATTTGAACCTACTCATTAGACTCTCCTCTTGAATATTGGAAGTCCCTGTGATCAAAGGCTAGTTGCTTCTCCAGTGTTACCACAGTCTCTTGCGAAGTGCCTCATTTTTGCCAGCAGGGGGCAAAGGCTTAGTATCCAGCCTGAAAGAGTCAACGGTTACTTCTCGTCACATGGGCCAGTTGCTCTTCCACTTCCTGAAGAAAGCTTGGATCTCGCTTGCTGCTTCTACTGCCTCGCCGATCGCTATTTTTAAACATGTTTACTTTTTATAGAATTTGCCAAAGTCCCGAAAACTTGCCCAAATGCTTATTTAGCTCCTGGAATCTCTCTAATACAGTCTATTTCCGCTTAAAACTCCGTCCCCACTACAAAGGCTTTTCTTTAATCGCTTATTCTTTCCGGGGGAGAGTCCCCTCCCCCCTCGCTTTTAGTAAAAGGGGACTCGCTCATTCTCTGGTGTTCTCGCTTTAACGGACTCACTTTTCAACGTCTGATCACTCGGATCTCGCCAGGTAATGATTTCAACGCTGTACCTCCAAGTGCTTGTCCCCGTGTGCGTAGCTTAAGTCCCATTCGGGAACACAGCGCAGAGACCTTCAGGGCAAAGGGAAGCCTCAATCTGCCGGCAGCGTGCCCACAGAGAGGCAACCCTCATGGCAAGGGACCCATCGCAAGAGTCCCAGGGGGGTGCGGACATTCGCACCCCCTCTCATTGCACTGGTTCGCGGATCGCCCCCAGGAGTTCCCTGGGGATGTGGCCGCCATCAGCATGCCAAAACTGGAAGGCCCCCAGGAAGAGCTATTTCCTTTAGGAAAAGTTTCAAGCTATTTTTTCTTGAATGACACCTATTGATAGCATATTATCAGTGTAAGGTCATCACTAGGATCTATAAAAGGAGTTAGTGCTCTCTCCCTATCTTAGGCATTCAGCAAGTACTTCTTAAATGCTTTAATGTCATTCTTGGATCTGTAAAATCAATTTCAATACCACATTTCTTAACATTCAAAACCAGTGCACCCCCCCCCCCCAAAAGGAAATGTCATTGTTAGCATCTCTTGTGATTCTGTTACGTTTGGGTTGTTAGTAAATTTTGTATTGACTGAGCTTGAGAAATCCTCTTTCTGAATGTGAAATTTTTGAGGAGAAGTAGCAAACGGGCTGTTGAACATATTTGGTGACATTAGATTTCCCCATTTTTTGTTGGGTACTGTAGCATGTAATCCAGATTGTGGGAAATATTCTTGGAAAAAGCAGGTGTTTCTGTGTCCAGGACACACTTATGTTCCTTGCAGGAATTTGGCTGTATAGATCCGTGGCCTTCAACTGTTCAAATCATGGGACCTATCTAGATGGAAGTACATGTCAGGAGGTCATAAGACATCCAATTCATTTGATAGGAAGAGGGGAAATCAGAGCTGTGACCTTACCAATGTCAAGGCCGTGACCATGGGAGTAAACCAGAAAAGCTGGGGATAGGAAACACAAGCCAAGCACCATAATGAGGAATCAGCCAAGAGATGTGAGGCATCGTTTCAATCACTGTTCAGCTTTGCCTTGCTGTCTTCCTGCTTCATCAGCACATGTACAAAGAGAGGCAAGAAGCAGGTCTATCTAGCAAGTTCTTCCTAAAGGCAGCAAAAAGTGCAGCTGTATAGGAGATCACAGGCTATCAGGAGGACCCTGTGACCATGGGCTTATCCAGCTGTTACTGGTCTTGCAGCTGTATGTCTGGCATCTGTGTAATGTAGGTAGGAATAATTCTCTAAGAAAAAGCTGTACCCTTAAAAGTGGCAGTGATGGCAGGATATACGTTTATTTTTCTTCAGTAATGACAGCAGGAGTGTCTTATTTTAAATTTCAGGTACTGCTGCACCATTATTTATAATACAAAGGCCCTTTACGGCACTGTTCAAACTTCTACAATGGCTAATTCATAGTATCAATTTAGTTGAGTAATTTAAAGTAATTACTAGATAATTCATTTGCTTCTTAAATAAATGCACTACTATTTTTTTTAAAAAACATAACCCTGAAATCTAATTTAGGGAACAGATGGAGAGTCCTCTTAATAGACTGAATCAGGCAAAAAAACATTGTTTATGATACCTTACAAGCAGGGATCCACAAAGACTTGCGAGGGGCATCTCATTTTCCCTTCTCCCACTATTTCATCTCCCCCTTCCTGAAAGCCCCCATAACTTCTCCCGTTTTCCTGCCTCCTCTCCTTCCCACTCACCAGCCAACCTACCTCTATGTCCCTCCTGTATTTAGTTTTCCCTCCTTCCCTACTCCTGGCATCCTTTCCCTTGGGAAAAGTCTAGCTGAGCTGCTCAGTGTTGGCCCCTGGGCTGGGCCCAGTTGCATGGTAGGGAACATGCAGGGACTTGTGTAGGACTCTTCATTTCCCCCTGTATTCTCCTCCCCACGCCACGCTATTGCTCTTTCCCTCCGCCTGGCAGCCCATATATCCTCACTTTTCTCTGCTTCTGTCACTTCTTGTCTCCTACCAAGCAACCTACCTTTTATCTGTTTCCCCATTTTCAGATTTTTAAAATTTATTTCATTTATGCTGCAGCTGCTGCATGAAGGAAAACTAAAACAGCTTACATCATTTCTCCATTTTTATCATCACAACAACTCCATGAGGTGGATAATACTGAGTGTGTGTGACTGACCCAAGTTCAAGCAGTACACTTTCACAGCAGGATGAGGATTTGACCCTGGGTCTCCAGACCCTAGTCTGAAGCTCTGACTGCTTTAACACACTGGCTTTTGTTGGATGGCTGCTGTTGAACAGCCAGGCCTGGGTGAGTCATGCAAGTCCCAATGAGTCTTGCTTTCAGGGCCGGAACAGCCCTGGAAAGGGCCCTGCCCCCTTCTCCTGCCTTTTATTAATCGAAACCAAGGTGTTATTTGGCATTACTAGTAATGGTCACAGGGGGCGTTTGTTTCTTAGAGCTACCCTGAGCCTGCTTTGGCAGGGAGGGCGGGGTATAAATTTGAATAAATAAATACTACCACTGCTTCTATTATTTTGTGGAGCTTTAACCCTTGGTATGTTCTACCACCCCTGCCTCTTTTTCTCCCCCCCCCCCATTTCTCACTTGGATTCTGCCTTCTGGCAGTGTCACTGCTCCCCCCCTTGTGTGGCAGCTCAGAGACTGGTGAGGCAGCAATAGCAGGCTCAGCTTGCAGCTCCAGGGATGCTGTCCCAGATGGCCATGGGGATCAGTATTTGTATGTGGGGGAGTACATATGATCCTCTGTTGGGGGCTGCTGGTGGCTAGCTCTGCTGCCGTATTCATTCCCCCCATGTGACAGCTGTGCTTTGGCCCATGGGGGGGGATGTTCTTTGGCAGTTTCTTTCATACATCAGGGGCCTAGTCCTGCCACCAAGCAAGCTATTCAGCAAGTGGACCTCATGCTTTAAGGATTGTGCAATCCTGAATTTACTATATAGGTCCAACACTTTTTTGATCAACACTGCTTTTAACTTAAGAAACATTTCATTGGGAGCATTTGGCTGTACAAGCTCAGGAGAATATATAGGTTGACCAGAGAGAAGTACTACTGGACATGTGATTGCACTGGAAGGCTGTATTTGTATTTTTGTATTTCTCTTCTTTGCCCAGTGGTTAAACTTTGGAACAATTGTTTTCTGGTCTCTATTGCATATTCTGTTTATGTATGATTGTATATATTTTTACATATCAGCCAACATGTTCTATTTGTATTAGACCTCTGAGGAAGGAATGTAAAGGCCGAAACGCGTTAGGTCTATTTCATCAGCCTTTGTATGTTTTTATATTTGTATATGAGGTATGAATGGGCCCTTATTTGTTATTTTAATTTGTGTTTAATAAATACATGTATATTTTTTAGGTTTCATAATTAAATTTTAAGAGTTGGCCCTCTTCTATTCTTGACTAACCTTTATAGGTTCTGAATTCTAGGTTTTAGGTTCAGTCTTTTCCTCCCCTTTTTTGTCCTTACTGAAGGTTAGCAAGCAGCCAGGACTAGGTAAGTCACGCACATCAGGTTGTATCAAGTTACCCAGTGGCTGCTGTCAGGCCTGGTGTGATGAGAACAGACCTGGAAAGGACCCTGCCCCCTCCCCCGCCCAGTGCTGTGGTTTATGTGGAATGCTGTGGTTGCCTATCAAGGGCCACTGAAATGATCCATTTGTTAGAGGTACAAGTCTACTTGCTCCTTTTAACATTTGGGGTTTTTTAAAAAGATTTTTCTGCAAACTGTCTCGCCCATTCAAAGCTCCAGTCACCATTTTAAAGTATCTTCAGATTTGGCCCACTTCGCTATTAGTATATAGATAATTTGGAGCAGCTTGATACATAACAAATGTAGAGTACTTGTAGCTAAGCCGTAGTCAAGGGATTTTATTACAGTAATTTTGTACACTACATAATAACATCTTATTTTACTTGATTTCTTTTAGAATTAACATTTAAGTATCTGTGGATTCAGTTAGAATCTTGGATCACTTACAATACCATTTAATTCATTATATTTCTAAATCACTGCCAGAACTGAGTAATATCTGAGTTTGGGGGCTCGTCCTGGAAGCAGAAGGAGCGTTACTGGCTAGCAATCACAGCCAAAGCTAGGAATGTGGTCCGGTGTAAGGCTTCTATCAGCTTCCAACTCTTTTATGGAGTAGAGATAATCAGTACTTAAAACACACTCTTGCTTGATTTGTAGAGGAGCTTTTTATGGACACTCATCTAATGGCAAAATTTTCCCTCTCCCAATTTCTAGTGCTTGCTGAGGTACAGAAACCACGTTTCCAGCTGTGAAATATCGCCAGGATGTTCAAAAATGAGTATCAGGTAAAGTAAAAATGTTCCTAAATCTTACTAGCTAAGGTATCTCTTGTAAAATGACAAGAAAAATAAATGTTGGAAAGGTTAGCCTGTGAACAAACTGTCGTTAAAGGGGTGTGTGTGTGTGTGAGAACTTATATGGAAGAGCTTCTGGCCCCCCCCCCCCATGGCTGCAGTTTCTTTCCACCATGTCTTTCGACCCTCCCCCGCCCCAGGTTTTCCATTTCCACTGAGCTCTTCTACCCATCCACAGGCTGTCCTTTTTCCTGCCATTAATGGATTGGCTCCTTAGTTCCATACACTTATTATCAACAATGTTTGTGCACTACTTTGGAATGCTACAGCAACCTCAGATGCTTTCAGAGTGGCTCCTATTCATGACCTCTGCTTGTGTTTAAACTGTTACCATTTTAAACCTCCAAATCAGATTTTTCTGCAAATCTGGAGATTTTTCCTTAATCTAAATTGTGTCCTGTTCCCATTGGGCAGATTTGCCTATCCACATAGAGGCTAGCCCATGGTTATCAGGTTCAGGAATCTTATGCATTGGTTTGCTAATATTCTTTTTATTTTTGCTGTAGAAACAAACATTTTATTTCTGTTTTCTGCTATTTTAGTTCTTCTCTGAGACCCAAAGATTTTGGCTGACCGTGGTAGCTAGCAATTATTTCTGGTAACCCTCAATTCTACCTCTCTTCTGAGTCCTCTGGAATTCACAGAAGACATAGGAGAGGGGGAGAAATCTCTCCCATTGCTCTGTACTTTGGCACTGAAAAGTAGTTCATAGTTTCTCACAGTGACCTGGTGGTGTATGTACGGAACTAAATGCTTGACTCTGCATTCAATACATGAAGTTATTTATTTATTCATTCAGAAGATTTTTTCTACCTCTCCTTTCCACCATATACGGCACTCGTGGCAGCTAACAAAAATTAATCAAAATATGACAAATTAGCAGTGTATAGACAGACATCTGCTAGCCACAGGTTTCAGTGTTTTCCTGCTCGAGGTTAAGGTCCAGGAGTCTAGGCAAGGTGTTGGAACCAGCAACACTATAGCGTAGTGGTTCTTCCAGCAAAGGATAAGGGTGTGCTGTGACCTTAAATACTCTTGAGAAGAAGTGGAGATACAGGACCTCAGTCTCCAGGAGCGGGCTACCAGTACTTCTAGGTATGCCCTGGTTACGGCAGCCAGTACCATGATGGGGCTGAGATGGTTCAGAGTTTTGGGAGACTGAAGGAGTAATTTGGGAAGAGATTTCTGATTCAGCAGCAGACTCTGAGATGGGAGGGTTCACAAGCCAAGTGCAAATCAGAAGGCAAGAGAGCCAGTTTGGTGTAGTGGTTAAGTGCGCGGACTCTAATCTGGGAGAACCGGGTTTGATTCCCCACTCTTCCACTTGCACCTGGCAGAATGACCTTGGGCAAGCCGTAGTTCTCATAAGAGCTGTTCTTGAAAAAGAGCAGTTTCTGTTAGAGCTCTCTCAGCCCCACCTACCTCACAGGGTGTCTGTTGTGGGGAGGGGAAGGGAAAGGAGTTTGTAAGCCGCTCTGAGACACCTTTGGGTAGTGAAGGGCAGGGTATAAATCCTCCTTCTCCTCCTCTTCCTCTTCTTCCTCTTCTTCTTCCTCTTCTGCATGTCAAACTACACAAATACTGCAAGAAGTGCATGCAATTAACAACAATTGTAAGAATCAGTTGACTCTTGTTGTTGAACTTCAAGCTGTTTTAATCTTTCTGTTTTTCAACAGACGAACTTCCCCGGAGTTTTACCACTCATTTCGACACATTCTTTCTCAACGTAACGGTTCAATTTTGTATCCTTACAATATCTGACATCGGACTCTTTTCAATTCCACATAACTTCAGGCTGTCCGTTTGTAAAAGTACTTTGTCAAGAGCTCTTGAAGTTACGTGGAATTGGAGAGAGTCCGATGTCAGATATTGTAAGGATGCAAAATTGAACCGTTACGTTGAGAAAGAATGTGTCGAAATGAGTGGTAAAACTCCGGGGAAGTTCGTCTGTTGAAAAACAGAAAGATTAAAACAGCTTGAAGTTCAACAACAAGAGTCAACTGATTCTTACAATTGTTGTTAATTGCATGCACTTCTTGCAGTATTTGTGTAGTCTGTATCTTAGTTATAGTGCTGCCCCCCCCACCTTCTTTGTCTTCTGCATGTCAAGCAGATGCTCTACCACTGAGCCACAGCCCTCTCCATAGCTCCCCAGGATCTCAGGCAGAGGTCTTTCCCATCATCTCCTGCCTGGTCCTTCCAACTAGAGATGCAAGGGATTGAACCTGGACCTTCTGCATGCCAGGCAGAGTCCTTTTCCACTGTGGCTCCAGCTCTGAAGAGGTGAGGAGAGCCACTTCTTGGAAACCTTCAGGAGCTGCTGCAAGGCTGGCTTGCTTGCCAGTGCTTTTGAGGGGTTTTGAATGGCAGTGAACTTTTCAGGGAGAGGGAGGGAAAGATTGGGGTTTGTTATTTCGTTCTGGTTTAATAGGAAATGTTCTCAGCTTATTATTAGCTGCCTTGAAACATGCAGAAAGGTGGGGAATACATGTTTGAAAATAATCTCTGAATTAATCATGCAGGGCAGTGGTTTTGAATCTTCCTGCTTTTAAAGAACCACTTTTCAATGGGTTATCTGTCAAGGAGCCAATTTGGTGTAGTGGTTAAGTGTGCGGACTCTAATCTGAGACAACCATGTTTGATTCCCAACTCCTCCACTTGCAGCTGCTGGATGACCTTGGGCAAGCCATAGTTCTGACAAAGAAAGGTTCTCTCAGAGGTCTCTCAGCCCCACCTGCCTACCTCACAGGGTGTCTGTTGTGAGGAGGGGAAGGGAAAGGAGTTTGTAAGCCACTCTGAGACTCCGAGTGAAGAGCGGGGTATAAATCCAGTCTCCTCTTCTTCTTTTCATATTGTGGAGAATTCTGGGATACATCCTAGGACACGCACTTGGTTTATATCGAACCAGGCCATGCCAGGTTGCGTGTGTGAACTGAGAGTGTGCCCTAGAACACATCCGACACTCCATTGTACCTGTGCATTACAGGTAAGATCAGTAGTGCTCAGGGAAGCTTACCTACCCTTCCTGAACTTTGCGTTAGAGGTCTCCTCAAACAGAAGACCAGGGTTCCCTAAAACACATGTTTAAAACCCCTGATGACTCAATCACTGATTGAATCAGACCTAGGCAACCTGACCTAGGCAACCAAATTAAATGTGCATTGAGAAATTAACATTAAAAGTAGGTTGCTGATTGTGAAAAAACTTATATATTACCTCCTGGTGGTTGTGTTGGGAAAGCATTTCAAATGCTGCACTTGGTGATCAAAGTACTTTGTGTTTTGATGGGAGAAAGAGAGCATGCTATTGTGCCAACATACTGGAGATGGACAGGTTTTTATCTGTTTTATTGCAGGGTGGCCCATTCGTTGAAATCTTCAGTGCTCAAGGCAAGAATCCTGGAGCAAAATGGAAGATTTTTGGTAGTCCATCAGTAATTGGGAAAGTATGTTTTATAGGGGAATTGTAAGACCTTGGAATATAAACCATAGCAAATGTACATGAAGCTTAAAATTAGAAAGTAATGAGGGCTTTGACCTGGCTGTTGAAAAGTTGTCACATTCACTTATATTACCATGACAGAATAAATGACCACATTTGTTACCACTTCATGCCTGCTTGCAAACTAGATTTGTTACAGCTATAGTTTTACAGCTACGAATTTCTAATACAATATAAGGAAGCTTAGAATAGCTTTGCTTTCCTGATTACCGCTGGGTCAAGCCCAGGGTCAATGGATCTTGTGCTGCTCACACTTCTGTGTAGCACACTTATATTTTTAAAAGTCATTGACAGCTGGCGCTACAGCCAATAATCTCCCATACTGAAGCAAACTTCATTCTCAAAACTGGGAAATGTTGACTTCATCTCCAGTGCTGACCCCTTTCCTGAGAGTAAGCCCCACTGAATAGACAGGAGTAAGATACTGAGTAGACCTACTTGGGACAGCACTGCCAGTCACTTGGGCTTGTTCCTCAGTGGCACTTTTTTTCTTGTTAGCTTCACTGATTTCTAGGCACAGCTAATATCTTTGACACTTCCTGGTTCTGCTGTGTTTTCCTGCTTCTGCTTTGTCTCTCAAAGTCTTGACAGCTTACAACAGGAAGGAACAGACAATATATAATTAGAAGTTAAAATCCTACAAGAAAATACATAGTGCATACATCAGCAATAATGCAATCCATCTCAAGATGGTGAGAAAATTTCAGGATTCACAAGCTTCCGGGGGGGGGGGGGTTGTGGTGAAGGGGGGGTTGTTC